GGCGTGGCGGGACGGGGCAAGGCGTGGCACGCCCGGCACGCCGAGGCGGGGTCTTGCAGCGCAGGGCGGGCAGGGCGTCACCGCCTCACCTCACCTCAGCGACCGCCGCCGCCGCCGACATGGTCTTCCTCCGGGAGGTGAGCGCGCAGGCGGTGCACGCACGGCAGCCGTCGCGTGACTGCCGGCCCGGGCTCGGGGCACCCGGAGGGCACCGCCGCGTTTACCTTACACGCCTCTAATACACGCCACGCCAACGCCCTGCTCGGTGGCTAACCCGGTGGCCCGCCCGCCCCGCCCCGCCACGGGACCTCACGCACCTCCCGGGAGCAGGTTGGGCTGCCTACCCGCCCGGCGGACCCCGCGCCCCACGCCCACCCACGGCTCGTGTGGCTCCCGCTCATCCTGATCCCCGCGCCCGAGGCACGCACCCGCCCCGGCCCTCCCGCCTCCCCCCTTTCGTCCTCCACACTATAAGGATGACACACACGGGTCGTCTGCCGGCTCCCTCGCTGCTCCTCCCCCACTTGCCTTTTATAGCGCGTTAATTCGTCGTTAAGAGCGCGCGGGCCGAGTCAGCCGACCCGACCCGCCACTTACATAAATAGTACATATATCGACGTCATAAATGAAGTAATTGTGTCGGTGACGTGGGGGCGTGGCGGCGGGGCGACGACGGCGCCCTCATCGCGACGCCACGGAGGGCCAGCCGCAGCCCGTGAGCCGGCGCGACAGCTGCTGCCACTGTACCACTCTAGAAAAAATAGAACCTGTTAGGCTCATAGTAATCTGTAGTAATCGCATCTAATCAAGAAAAGCGTTGGTTTTTTCCTTATCTTATTTTGGCCCCCTACCCAATAGTTCTTTATTAAAATCCTGCCTGATACTACACCACCACACCACCGTTTTACCTTGAAAAGAAAATTAAAACTCTCGGTCTAGCTATTTGATTAGATTTCAGAGAAAGTGCTTGGCAATTGACTGAAAAGAAAAGAGAATAAAAATCGAGTGAAAAGTGGAGCCACTCGTGCAGCTCCGTTCACCTTCCTTCCTCTGATGGGGCGCGCAGACGATGGCCCATAAGGAGTAGATGAGTTCGCCGTCGCGTCGAGCAGTCGCGTCGCGCTCCTCGGGGACCATCGTCGGGGACCGTCGGGGACCGACAAACGGCGGACTAGCCATTCCGACTGGCGCTCGCAGGCGCGGTGGTACTTCCCCCCGGGGCCACTCGCGGGCGCGGGTAGTAGGGTCGGGTCAGGTGCCATTCCCTCGGCAGGGACGCGAAGCGAGGCCCGCCGCGGGCCGAAGACAGCGCGCGGGGATTTGTGATGGGAGCTTAGGCGCCAGTCCGGGATGGGCGCCTGTAGGACGGCGCCGCCGTGAGTGACACACATAAGGGAGTGATTTATTGATCGGTGGACTGACATATCAACTTTACTGCCGCTACCCGCCCGTGGCCCGCCCGTGGCCTGCCAGTGGCCCGCCCGTGGCCTTCCCTGCCCCCCCCCCACTCTCCCCCCCCCCCCCCCCCCCCCCCCCCCCCCCCCCCCCCCCCCCCCGGGGGGGGGGGGGGGGGGGGGGGGGGGGGGGGGGCGAGCGTGCGGGATGCGGCGGAACGGGGCTGGGCGGGACGGGGCGGGGCAGGAGGGTTCCTTTATGGTGCAGTAATGCCTTCCTGTACATTTCGGCTGTCTAGAAATCGCGGAATGGGCAAATTCATGGCGCTGTACATCACGGGGATAACGATTTTGATTGGTTCTCCTCGTTTCTCTAGCAGCCCGGCGGCGCCGGCACCCACCCACCACCACCACGGCGGGCAAATGGCAAATGTCACAAGGAGCAAAGAGTTAAGTGGAATGCAACCAGTTATCACACTTTACAATCAGCGATTGTGATCCGTGTTCGGTATCTCTGGGTTGTTGTCGATACTCCTAAACTCACAATAATTTGTAGACCGTCAAAAGTGGTCTTCCCCCGTCGACGTCTCGTGAAACGCCAACTATTGGATTTTGAAATGCCACCGTTTCCCGCCAAATAGCCGACTATGCTGCCCCTAGCGGCCCCAGATAGAACTTTGCCACAAACACAAACGTGCTGTGTGCCGCACCGCATTGCTCAGCGACGATAGAACACAAATTTTCGACAAGAAAACTGTGTATTTGGTCTTATTTGCCAATAAGTCGGTGGACCATATTGCTTTTTAGCCCACCCTTCAAGTGCGTGTAGGAAGCATTCCATTTTCAAGTCAAAATGAAACTTCTCACTCACAATGTGCTTAGTTCGAAGTGCCTGAAAGGAGTTTCAGTAGGGTATCCTTTGAGGTTAAATGTAAGTTGTCACATTATCCTTTATGTGTAACCACATTTACCGATTAAATAACTATGGTCCTTTGTTGACTTTGATCCCCAAATTTATTTATTAGAATCCTAATTTCTATACCTTGTCAGTAAAATAATATTATTTCCTAAACAATCATGTGCTTTTGATTACCTGTCTTCTCTCAGCAGTCAGAGTTTTACATAATTTTTATATGTATGTTTTGCAGGCAACTGATATTAAAGTGGTTGATGTGGATTACAATTCTGAATTCGTCTCTAGAATGATCCCTAAAATCAATTATAGTGCTTTATATGATGCCGCTCAAAGTGTAAGTTTAACAAATCTATTATTTTATGCTGTGGTTTCCCTTTTGATAAATTTGAAAGACACAACTTTTTGTTCACATGTAGATTGGTCATCTCAATGGACTACCCGACGCTGTAGTGGATGACTTTGAAAGTAATGAAGATTTCCTGAAAGCCGTTCATCATGTCTTGTTAGAAGTAAGTTCTTGTGACTGCTTAGTGTAATTTTTTGTTAAACCTTAATTTTGATGAGTTTAACTTACTGTCTTCTTTCTTTCTTTTTTAGGTTGACATTGTCAGTGGTGATCTTGAATGTCCTGAATCAGGTAGAAAGTTCCCTATTACAAGAGGTATACCCAACATGCTTGTGAATGAAAATGAAGTTAATGAGATTAATGGATCTAATGGATATAATAACTAGAATTTCTTTGCAAAAGTTTTGTTATTGTTTTTACTGTTAATTTAATTTTGTTTAAGACTCTCAAAGTTGAGGAAATTTGTCAGTTTTGTTTGCTCATTAGGTATTTCTTCTTATTTTTCTCCATTTCTGGTTAAGTTCTGCCTTGATATGTTTGAATCGAATTGAACGTGCAAAGTAAGATTTCTTGTTTGAGATTGAGAAAATTATACTAAATGTTTTCACCATCATTTTATTGAACTCAAACTGTAAGTAAAGAAGTTACAATACAATATCGACATTTTTTTAAATACCTTGCCTATGAAATGAATTCCTCAGCAGCTTTCATTTTATTGGCAAGAAAATGATGTCCTTGCAAATTTCTAAAAAATATTAATTTATCTATTATCACACACATCATCACATGACAAACAACTTTCTATAACCAAACACTGTTGAGCAACTTGCTTTTCTTTTGAATCTACTATCCATGACAACTTCAGCATAATGCCAAATTTGGTAAAAGAAAAAGAGTATTGTTTTTGTATTCCTTAATCACAGCTTGTTACTTTCAGCTTAGATAAGACTAGTCAAAATGTTGATAAAAGATTCAATACCAGGTGGTAATCTTCACAAATCTAAAGTAAATTTTAAATTGACTCTAGAATTTCTAACATTGCCTATAGTGTACTTACAATCTACTTCAACTTTACGAACATTGGCTACCAAAATTTAAGGACTATTGTCCTCTAAAAATCCCACTCATTACATTACAAATTGGACATGACATATACCATTGAACATTTATCTACTTCTGCTTTTACAGGTCTCACTACATACTGACAAATACGTATCTACTAACAACTTCAAATGGGAAGTCAAGAACATTCAGAAGACTATAAATTTTTTACAAAGATGCAATGAATTGTTTGCCACTTAATCGCCAACAATAAGACACAATTATATTGCAGCATGAAAAACAAATGTGATACTTTATCTCCTAAATTTCTAAAATTCTGTCCCTTGAGTTGATAAAAATAAGTACTAAATAGAGTTTTATCTTAATTTTAGTGGATGGAAAGTAAATGTCATCCATGTATAAATGACAAAAAGATGAAAAATGTTCATATTGGACAAAATTTTTATAAAACTCTTAACAAGTAGGAAAATACTAGACGTCCCATAATAGTATGAACTGGATTAATAGGCTTTGTCATCACTTAGCCAACTACAGCCATGCAATTTTTAAAAAGGAAATAGTACATCATGAAACAGGAACAGATCGTGTAGAATTTAGAATCAATCTGTGGTTTTTGCTGAGATGGTATGGTACAAACATTTATCCTGGTTTGCTTCACTTCCCCCGCGATTCAACAACGAGCAGAGTAGCGGCAGCATTACAGGCGGCTAAACGGGAGTAAAGACTTCCTTTGGATAGCCCTTTCTGAGGACCTTTACATGCATCTCTATTTGGTCCTCGAGCTGCAGTCTGCTGACAGCTTAATAGGGCTTTATTTGGACCCTTTGCCATGCTGGCATGTTCAGAACTGCGGTTGGGCCCTGCCCATGTCACATAATCCTCTCTGAATTGAAAAAAAGAGGGAAAATAATAAATTAGAGGTGTAACGAACTTGTTCAAAAATTTAAGTTATTTTGATGTGCCTTACATTAATAGTTCGTCATTTGGTCCATGGTGAAACCCTGGATTGGGTCCAGTTGTTGTTATTCGGTAGGCTGAACGATATTCTTTATCTTCTGTGGTGCTTGTGCCTCTTGAAACCCTGCAAATAATTATCCACGTTTACAACATCATAAAAAAATTTGTGCAAAAATAGTAAAGTTATTTTAAATTCATACTTTGGAACATCCTTTTTGCCCTTTGTCTTTTTGATTGATGTCTTCATTGACAGTGGCTGAGCAGAATATTTTGAAGAAGCTGCTTTCTTCGGAGACAGATGAACTGTTGCATTTGTTGTTAAAATACTTTTAGATGTTGGTCCACAGTCGCCAACACTTTTTTGAAGGGTAGAGCTACCTTCTGTTTTAAGAGCAATGTCCTCTGTAGCAGGGAAATTTTGGGTGATCTTAAGATCCTCCTCCACCGAGCTCTTATTGTGGTCAAAACTTCCCTTTTTATTAGAGTGAGTGATCACATCTGCCTCTATGGTTGTTTTTGTTCCCAAAGATGACGCATCAGCATCTTCAGATTTATTACTACAAAAAGAAACTATTATTGAATAAGCTCTAGTTAGGCAAATAATACAAAAGATATTATTAACCTTTTACCTCTGAGGTCTTTGAGATGAGCATGCAGAACTTGGTTGTGTTGACTTTGGAGTGTCTTCTTTGATCATTGTCTTCAGAATGAGATCAGCTTTTTTTTCATCATAATCCACACTATCTAAAGCCATCAGAATAACTTGCTCAGCTAAATCTGGATAAGTTTTCTTTATCCTGTCACGCACTGAAAGAAGAAAAGATGGAAATAAGTTTCTATGTTAACATACCGTAAAATAATTTTAAAATAATTTCTTTTAGTTTACTTACTTCCTTGCTTTTCTTCCACACTCCTCAATCTTGCTGATGTTGTAGGAGTGCTGGTTACTTTATCTTTCTCCTTTTCAGTCATATTTTTATCTGTCACCTTCATTTTTGAGGACGGTGTACCCGCATGAGAAGGTGTTGTATCTCTCTTGTCAAAGCCCATAGCTTGTAGTTGGCTTGTAGCTGCTTGCACATTGTTATCCACATTGTACAAAGTGTCCAAAATAACAGTCTCGTCCGCTTTTGGGAACATACTCTTCATATATCTGCAAATAGACTGCATTTTAGATTCAAAATTCTAAACCTTCAGTCTGAATTTCAGCATTTATTTATACTGCAACAGGCAACATCCTAGGCAAAATTAAGAAATACATACTCGGGTCAGAAAATAATTAGCAATACACAAGCACATATTTTTAAGCAAAAGGAATCACCAAAAAAACAACAACAGAAAACCAAAAAGAACAACAATGATTGAGGAATTCTATACTTTAAAAATGTCACCAAGAGGACTCAAACAACATGCAATGCACTATTGCTATTGTTTTTCAAAACAAAGAAAAAACAAAACAAAAAAAACAAAAACAAAAATACAAGGGAGGGTCATTTACAAAAATCTAAACAGGCAAAACTTAGATTTCATTTTAAATACAGCAAAAAATGAGGTATCAAAACAATATCAAAGCATTATCAGATATCAGAAATTTGTCAGTTTTTGTATCAAAACTGTGCAAATGTGATCTCAAAATTTCTGATATCTGATATCAATTTGATAATGCATCAAGAGATATTTCTCACTGGGATCTATACAAAGTGTAGAGGGTTGACAAACTAGTTGAAGATACTGGAATATTGTTAACTTGACATGGTTTAATAAAAATTGCCTTGAATATGAAAAAGGAATATTCCCTTTACGTAGTTATTTTTAACATAGTATATAGAAACAGTCAACTTTGCCAACCCTCAGCACTTTTTCCCTGGAAAATGGGAAACAAATTTATATTAACCAATGGCGTTCAGTTCAATACCTCCTACAACCAAAATTGACACAGACAAATAAAAAAGCTGTAAATCAAACTTGCATTTCAAGCAACTCTACATTACTGTAAAAATTTCACATTACTTCAGGTTGACTGATCATCCTGTTTTGTTTTATACATTTACATGCGAATGTACGCTCCAAATCTAGATCTAATAAAAATTTCTATTGAGTGAACACCTTAGTTTCATCTTAGGAGAAGAATGAGGCCTTGGGGAGTGGCGAATCGCTGGTGAACCCATACAGGAGCTAGAGGCAAGGCTTCCTGTCAAAGTTCCACCAGTTCCATAGCCATATGAGTACAAGGAGGGGGGAGGAGTGACAAAGTCTCGGAGGCCAGAAGGTGGAGTGGAATGATAGTTGGGAGGAAGAACAGAAGGGGGAATTATAATGTGACGGGCAAGAGGAGGGGTACTGAAAGGACCCGGGGTTGTTATTGGATTCTTCTCCACCTGCAGAGCACTGATTACCACAGCTTCTCGGCTATGGTACCTGAAAGAAGTTTGATATCGCAATGAATCAATGTTTCCTGAAAAAGTTTTGTACTGTTTGGGCCAACTTACTTGATTAGAAGAGCACGAATGTGCGTTTCTGAAACAGTTGGAAACATTGCAGAAATTTTGGCAACAGAATTCTCTGTGGCTACAGCAGTGCTGAATGAAGTTTCCTGTAGTTTACTACTACTATGATGCCCAATAGCATGGGATCCCATTAATGGTGCAGTATGCGCACGACCAGGCACTGGACTTGGGCGGAAACTGGATATATCCTGAAACAAAAATTGAAATACCTTTCCAGAACTTAACCATCTCAAACACGAAAGCAAGTCTCTTAAAATAGCTAAAATAATTACTGAGTGAAAACATTTCAAATTTAGTTAGAACATACAACAAAATCAGAACCATTCAAACCATACCTGACGCAGTATTTCTTGGATGTAAGGGGAGGGTAAATGAAAAGCAGGTTGAGGGTGATAAGGAGCAGGACTGGAGGGGTAAATATTGCGATGGTCAGGTGTTCCATGCAGTTGAGGCTGCGTCCCATATTTGAAAAGTACTTTAGTAACACACAAACAATCCAAGCAAAAACATACACATATAGTGGAAGAGTTGTAGAACAAAACAGAGAAGTAATATAGCAATGCAATCAGTTACGTTGCATGGAATTGCAAACACTTTTCTGTTTTCTTAGTGCCAAACACCATAAAAGAAGAATAGGTCAGTGGTGGAAAAGTAGAAGACGGGCATGCATAGAGAACCAAGCAGACACCAATGTCAAATGCCACCAACATGTCACACGCCATACAGTTTAATAAAGAAAACACACCTGCATGTTTAGGAGTTGTGCTGGTTCTTGATAGGGTGGAGGAGCATGAACTATAGGAGCGTGAGCACGAGGATCATCCCATGTTGTAGTTTTGTTGATAAAATTGATGTAGTAGCTAAACATAGGTGAAAACAACAATTATTATTATCGAGACTTAAAACAACTGTCAAAGGCCAAGCAGAACATAGGGTGACAGATGAAATTTTTGTCACGGAGAAGTTTGGAACTTGAAACGAATTTACTTCTTTTTAAGAAACAATATATTAGGAGAATAAAAGAACTAACTTTCTTCGCGTGCGAGGGTCATGTCTACATTCCCAACCATTCGGCAAAGGGCCAAGCGCCGAGTTGTTGTCCGCCATTGTATATTGTTTCCTTCTGCTTGCGCGTCTGCTTCTTGCTTCTGCTATTTCACGGCCATCTGGATAACTGAATTATTTTATTTCTCGCAAGTTAAAAGAATGCATGTAATAGCAAGAACTTTATTTTTGTGCTTGGTTATTGCCTTGCGATTCTAAATCATAAAAAATACTGAAAATCACCCGGAAAGGGACGGGAATCGAATGAAAAGTTATTTGGCGGGAACGGAAGTAGGTTGGTACGAGCAGTGGAGATACCCCGCGCATGCACGCTAAAAGTATCGCTGTCACTTCACCCACCCACAGCATCGATTCATGCTTTTCATTGTGGCTTGCGGGACGCGTTTTTAAGATGGGCTGCTTGTTCTTCAGAAAGAATGGGAGAATTTCAAACAAGACTGTGCACTTTATTAATGCGCATTTTTATTGCGAACTTGTAGTTTTGATCTGATCACAATTTTCGTAACACGAATGTGACAAGGAGGAAAATAGTTCCTCGTTCTGACATCCAAAATAGGGCGACCGAACTTCAGGCTCGTCCAAGAAAGAGGTCCGTTTTTCTCAGATTCATTCGGTGAAAAACGAGAGCCCGGTGCCTGCGAAATTCAGGATAGGCCAACCGGCAGTGCACGCGTGCAAAACAAGCAGTCTCTTGCCTACCTTCCAGGCGCTACAAGAGCTTGCCAAAAAGGTCGGATTTTGCGTGTTCGAAACGACGAATGACGGACACACTTCATGAACGATCCCTCTTCATTCAAGAGACAACACTGGAAAAACAAAGGTGCGATATGATACCTTTCCTGGGGTGCTAAACCCGTTTTGGGGGTAATAAAGTGTGTATTCAGATTTCCCCAAATATTTTCTAAATGAGCAAAACCAATCACATTTTGGGATACATCGTCGCATTCCTCGCAAATTTCCGCGTCAAACGAGCCTATGTGTAATGTAATAGGGCTCTGATAAGCAGTCAGCAAATGAAAAGCAAGTCAAAAAGTACAAAAAATTCTATGAATTTATGCCATTTTTGAACAGAACCCAACACATGTAGGCTCGTTCGACGCGAAATTTTGCGTAGATTACGAACAAGGGTCTGAAAAAAATTACGAAATATTTCGAAGAAACAAAAACTGTCATGCCTTTGGAGCTTTAGTGCCTTTTAAAGGTAGGATATCCTACCTTTGTTTTACTAGTGAAGGTAACTTTTGGTAAAAAAAGAACAACGGAAAAACCATACTCACAGTATGTGATAACATCTGCAAGATTTGAGTCCGATTCCAAAATGTTTTCAGAGTGTAATATAGACAGAATCAAAAGTCAAACCGGAAGAGGGGGGGGGGGGTTGTCCCAATAAGTAAGAGAGCTCTTGGTCTGGGTGGTGAATCCTCTGAGTTGAACATTGTGAACCTCAGAGAGCAGAGTCTTTGTGGGGATGAGGCAGCGTCCCGCGCGATCCCATGCACCCACCCACGTATGCTGGACGCGGGCCCGTAAGCAGCTGCGTCACGCCACGGCCATGGTCAGGCACTTGGGGGTTGTTGAAAGGCTGAAACCAGAGCGCTGTTCCCCGTCCAAGGCACGTCCGCCCGCGGGGTGGGGCCTCGGTGGGGCCGGAGGGTACGGGGCAGGGCGAGCCGCCCTTTCACGGCACTTCTCTCGCCCACGCAGTACCGGCAGTGACGCCCACAGGGCGGTTGCCCGCCTGCCCCCCTTGCCCAGCAGCACTATGGCCGATCTGGAATCTACATCGACACGGCACGGTAACAAGCTTCCGTGGCTCGCTAAAATGTAGCAATACGGTAGTCTGTCACGCAGTCCCCAGGAAATAATTAGCAGGCCTTTAGCTCCATCACAGGCCAATAAAATACACACACACACACATTTTAACAAGGTGGCATAAAATTTAACAAGAACTATCCACATTCCATAGGACGGTTTGCGGTCTAGTCGGTCGAGCGTGTAAGGTGGCTCTCGTGACGCAGCTGGCAAGGCTGCTGGCCTCCAAAAAGTCCTAAAGCGTTTTCTGATCAGAATGTACTTATTTTGCCAGCGATCGACCAGGTCGTTATATCGAACACACACCGCTCGAGATACGGCGGGGAGGTCCTGCTTTTGTGCCAGAGCCGCCGAGCCAGGCATTATATGTAGCTCGCCGACGAGCTCCTCTAGTAGTGCCTTCCACCAGCAGAGAAGTTGCGATCAGGACGAGAGGGAGGGGGAGGGGGAGGAGGGGAGAGGGAGTCGGGTACCGAAAAAAGATTGGCGAGATGGACCATCTGCGTATTCGAAATTGCCGACGATATTGGGATTTCGTCCACTTAGGCCCGTGACGCACGGGCCGGCCGGAGGCTTGGACACCCAGGAGAGGAGCTCCAGCGGCGCCCGCGGTGGCGTGTCGGCCAAGGACAGGGGGGAAGCGAAGGAGTGTCAGCAAGTGAGTCGTGCGGGTCGAGGGCTGGCTGGCGGGGTCGGGACTGCCCGGGACGGCAGGACGCCCCCCGGCGGCACGGCGCGGCTGGACGGCGAGGCGCGTGGCGTGCGCGGCTCGCACGCTGCGCACTTCCGGCTGCTTCCGGCCCGCGGTGGACACGGAGCGCACGCCGCGCGCGGCACGCCGCCGTCGTGCAGGCCGCCTAGACGTCATCGCACCCAAACAGGAAACAATACTAATCCCATACCGACGCGGCATGTGTCGGACGTGCACAACATATCCGTCCCAAGGATGCGCGGCTGCAAATTAAATAATTGCCTCCTAGTTCGGAGTATTATGTGAGAATGCCAGAGACCTTCTGCGTGCGCCGCGCCCACGCCGGCCCGGGCAGCAGCAGTAGTAGTAGCAGCAGCCTGCTGCCGGCGTGCCTGCCCCCGGCGGCGTGCCCGTGGCGTGCGCAGCAAGTTCACGGACACGCGTATGTGTGCGTGGGCGTGCGCACCTGTGCCCCGGCGTGCCGTGTCGCAGGCCGCCAGGACACAGGGACGCGTGTAATGGAGGTCCTGCGTCCGTGGCGCTCCAGGATATTCCGTGCGCGCACGACAAACGGATTACGTCCTCTTCGGTCACCTCCCGCACGCCCGACGCCTTCGCAGGTCCGCCGTTTATTGGATCCGGGGCCCCCGCCGCGCCGCCGTCCCTGGGGCACGCGTCGGAGGGGCGGCGGCGTCTGGGAAATGGAAAATAAGACAAGACGTGATTGAGATCCTGGCCGACCTCCTCTGCCCCGGCCCCGCCTGCAGCGGCGGCACCAAAATACTCTTCAATAGTCCTTCCAGAGGCGCGCCGCCGCCGAGGCCGAGGGCGTGGGACACGTTGAGTGACCGAGCTCAAGGGCGCCGGCCGAGGCCGTGTCGCCGGCCAGCCCCGCGGCCGGGACAGTCCGTCGTGTACGTTTTGCCAGGAAATCTCAGCCGTAACAGTCCAGGACGCGTGCCGTGCTCGGCGCCGCCGAAGCCCCTTGAGACGGTGCTGCTGGGCAGGGTCTTGGTGGCGTGCCCAGACTCCCGCCGCCGTAGCCTGCAGACCGCCCCGGAGGACCCGCCGGCGAGGAGGAGGAGGAAGGAGGAGAAAAGAGGCTTTGATCGATTCATCAGAGCCTCTCACTCCACTGCAGCGCGCACACACACACGCACACACACACACACACACACACACACACACACACACACACACACACACTTACTTCGGCGCCACGCCGCGCCACGGCCAGCGGAAGGGAAAGGAAGGACG